CCAGCACCGAAGATGGAAGCGAAGAACACAATGACTAAGAAGACGTTAGTGGTGTACTATGATCGGCTTGGATGTACTTACAAACCGCAGCAACGTGCAGAGGAAAGTCATAGACGGCAGCATCCGCCTCGCTGCCGCACTGAGGCTTCTCCGTGTCGGCCATTGCGAAGATTACAAAGAATGTATGTTTAGTTCAAGGAATGTGTGGAATAATCCCAGACTTGCCAGCAGTCCCGTCGCCGGCGACGATGAACAAGAAGAAAGAGACGAAGAAAGAAAGGAAGTCAACACACTCTCTCAAAGAGTAACAAGAACTGAAAACGCACAGAAGTGATGTTGTGAATATGGGCAGCAGGCTCGGCACTCCAGACTATGTATTGCTTTAAGGGCCAGTAGGATAAGAGACACTAACCGCATCATGCAGATCTGCACGTCTCCAGAACACCTGAAGACGATAGTGGGACCTCGATACAGTGGCCTGTGCCTCAGCTATCGCCTGCAGTGATAGGTGCTCCAAGCAGCAAACGCGGAGGTCCAGACGGTGTCAGGACCAGCCAGCCTTGCGCCGAAGACGAAAGAAGCATTGCCATGAGGTTTCCAGGCAGGAACTGGAATTGCCTGCGCCCAGCCTTCGAAGCTCATTGGAGACGGCTGTCATGCGCGTAGATGCTTGGCAGGCACGCTCGATCTGCGAAGGGGTGGGGATGTGATGCGGCTCAAGTCTCGTTTCCGGCGAGTGGGCCAAGCGAGTGGGACAGCTGACGAAGTGTGGAGGTGCGAAGCATTAGGGGTGAGGCTTGACTGCTGCCATCTGGTGCAGATGGAGTTCGAAGTGGCTCAGCATGCCGATGTAGTTGGCCAATGGGCCGTTTCGCGATTGCGTTGACGTGTGTGGGCCAAGCTCGGCTTAGTTTCGTGCCGTAGTGATAAGCTTGGCATGGGCCGACTCGGTGAGTTTTGAAACCTGGAGATGTAAAAGAAAGCGTCGTGGGGATATAGATGGCGTCCACTATGGCCCCACGCTGTAGCCGATGCAATCCTGCCGCGGCGATCACTGCGTTCCAAGGCTGCGCTATCTGTCAGGCGTGTGACGATTTTAGCCGGAGGGAAAGAATAGCCAACCCTGGAGAACTTGCGACGCGTCTTCCGAGTCATCAAACCACCGCACCAACAACAATTCCATCAAGCCCACCTCAAGAATGGAGATGGATGTGTGGGGATGCGTTCGTCCACAGATGACAAGCTTTTCAACGCGTCTTAGCATCGTAAAAGTTCCGGTCAGTTTAGATCGCCGCTAACATCTCCACGTTGTACACGCGTGCGCGGGCATTTTCACCACGCCTCCGCGCATGCAGACAGCCAAGCCTTATAAGGTATCAAGATAAGGCCAAGCTCATCAAGTCATACCATAACAGGTATCACGGCTAACCCACCAGGTACTAGCGAGCCGTTGGAAATGCTTAGCGAGTTTCATGCTCCGTGCCCAGCATTCCTACACCTGCACCAACGCGCAGTATTCACACAATGTGGCACCGAGTAAACGATCTGGCCATTCCACTATGACTTCAGGGTTCAGAGAAAGAAACTCCTGCGGAGGAGGGCGGGAAATGCGCCGCGGTGGCGTTGGCAGCGGTGCTTTATTACATTGCATGCCCTGAGCTGAGGCATATATCACCCACTTCGTAACTCCCACACCGTAGCAGATCCTAGAGATCGCCCATACACACACATACGCGTCCCTCAGCCCATTGTCCGGACACCATGACTTCCGATCTTCACAGTATGTCTCAGGCAACCCAAGCCCGTGGTTCTCTTGTCTGACCGTCCGTCTAGCTTCACCTAATGGCCCATCACACGACCAAGCTGCTGGGCAAACAAGCGCTCCAGTAGGCTCTGGCACTACTCCTTCGTCAAACCAGGCCAATATCGGCGCCGAGCATAGGACAGACGCCATTGAGCGGCTGTCATCTGTAGACAATGCATCGTCGCGGGGAGCCAAGGACGATGTCACCATCACCGTTCACAACGATCCACTCGATCTCCGCAAACACATGCGCGACGATGTGACCCAGAAACAGATGAAGAGTGACTATCCACTCGCCAAGCCCAGGCACATGAAGAAGTTCTACACGAGACAGAATGCCTTGATCGATCAGTTCCTCCAAAGCGGAGATGAAGAGCGCTTGGCTGCTCTTGACATGGTCGAGAATGGACCCAAGGTCCGCTTCGCCGTGAACGCTTCGTTCATCGTCAACTTTTGCTTGTTCATCATCCAGATGTACGCGGCCATCTCCACGGGTTCATTGTCGCTGTTCGCGACAGCTGCAGATGCCTTCATGGACTTGGTATCGTCAGTGGTCATGCTCATCACATCGCGCATGGCAGCACGGCCAAGCGTTTACAAGTACCCCGTGGGGCGGACGCGTATCGAGACGATCGGCATCATCATGTTCTGCTGTTTAATGACAACGGTAGCCATCCAGCTCATCGTAAGTACTCCTTCCCGTGTGCCCGGCTCAGCTATTGACATGTAACAAGATCGAATCTGGGCGTTCCTTGGCTGGCGGAGCCACGGAATCGGAGGAGCTCCACATCATCCCCATTGCCTTCGTTGCGACAGCCATCTTCTGCAAAGGCTCCCTGTGCGTCTACTGCTTCATCTATCGGCGTTACCCCGCTGTCCACGTCTTCTTCATCGACCATCGCAATGACATTGTCGTCAATGCCTTTGGTCTTGCCATGTCGATCGTCGGTAGCCGCGTCGTCTGGTATGTCGACCCTATCGGTGCTATTCTCATCGGTCTCTTGATCTTGGTTTCCTGGGCTGCCAATGCCTTCGACCATGTCTGGCTGCTTGTTGGCAAGTCGGCACCGAAGGACTACATCAGCAAGTTGATCTACATGGTTGTCACACACGACGACAGGATCCAGAGAGTCGATACTTGCCGCGCGTACCATGCTGGGCAGAACTACTACGTCGAGGTAGACATTGTCATGGATGAGGGCCTGCCGCTGAAGGTTACTCACGACGTCTCGCAGACCCTGCAGAGGAAGCTTGAAGGTATGTCTCAGTCACTCACTTACATCCACTAGCCGACACTAACACGCGACAGGTCTTGCCGACGTTGAGCGAGCCTACGTGCACGTCGACTACGAAAGCGAGCACGACATCTTCGAGGAGCACAAGCCCCTCTACGAAGTCACGCAGTCTAAGACCATCAAGGAGCGCGTCAAAGCTTTGCGCTACTTGTTCAAGAAGAACGAGAAGGGTGCATGAGCATCTATACCTGTATACCATGTATTTCTACGGTGCCACTGGCATCAAAAGTTCACGTTTTCCTTTACCTCATTTATACCCCAGCGCAGCAATACACAAGGCCGCTGTTGTTACTGTTACTGTTAATGCGAATGTTATTGTTAATGAGACACATTGTCTTAACTTTTGACCTAGACTTTCTGCATCGTGTTTCTCTTGCTTCATCTTTCTTTGTTTTGAGCCTTTGACACCCTACAGTGTTACTGAAACCACTGTTAGACAGCCACTACCTCTTTCTCTCGGCTTCGTGTCTCTTCTCATCGATCTTACCAGCAAAATTCCTCAACTTCTTCACGAAGTCTGACGCGTATACCCCCCGCTTCCTAGTTTACATATCCATCTACGCATCTTGATACCCTACCACTCCACGATATGTCTCAATCTGTATCTTCCCCCAGTCTGACACCCAAAGACTTGAAAATTACTCACGAACAACCAGAATCACCAGAATCACAAGCAACAGCCCCATCCGATCACTTCATTGAGGCTGAAGTTACTCATAAAGAATCATCATTGGTAACAGCCGCATCAGACCACTCCGATGACACAGATGATACAGCAAGTACTCACGAACAACCATCATCACCAGTAACAACCCCATCCGACCACTCAGATGACGCCACCACCTCCGCCGACTTCGCTGACCCAAAAGCCTCTACCCTCAAAGCCGAAACAAAAGTACGTAGGCCTCTAAGCAAAGTACAAGAACTAGCCGCTTGGTATGATTTACAGGCGAACGGAAACTTGAGATTACAAGTTTTGACATGGGATGGAAGAGTGGTAGATACGCCTAAACACGAGTCTAAGAAGTCTAAGAAGACGCCGCAAGCGGAGGAGGGGTTGATGTAACGAGGCGCGATAGATGGTTTCGTTGGGGAACGGGAGTAGAGAATGCGAGGGGATGGGCGGGTTGGATGGATGTTTGCGAGTTTGAAGGAGGATGGGCGTTGGAATAGCTCATGGAGTGACAAAACATCATGTTATTAGCTTGATCGCATGGCAGTACCCGTGTTCTCTGCACGTACAAAGCCTACTCCATCCCAGCCTCCTTCACCCCCTCCATCTCACCACCCCACCCTCTCCATCCACCCATCCTTCTCTTCCACCTCACACCAGCCATATCCCCCTACCCCTTCGACGAAGCACTCATCCTAGTCCTACTCCTCTTCATCAGCGCATCCATCTCCGACAGTAACATCCCCAAGAAAGCAAGAGTGGTTATCATTTCTGGGTTCATCCTGGCAATCGTTCCTTGGTTCCTTTGGCAATCGCAGTATCACAATGTTGTGCTGTATAATAATGTTCAAGCGGGGGTGAGGAGACTAATAGGCAGATGTATACTGCTGAAAGGTGTGGGTTCAAGTTGGGGGAATGTATGAAGATTGTTAGGGGTTGTGCTGAGGAGGTGCGCGGTAAGGTTGAGGGGGGGAAGGAAGGAACGCGGACGTAGTGAGATCGTGCTTGGCTTAAATGTCATCTCTGGACGAAGCCGGTGTGTGATGGTGTATTGGCCGTATTGAGGTTTCTTTTGAATCCCCTTCGGTGGACATTATGTATTTATCGTGGTACTAGTTACATGCTTACTGGAAGCTAGCTCGTGCGTGCCGTCGTCGCAATGACAAGAAGAAAGCAGAACATATCCTGCACCTGTGTACCAAACCTCTTGCCACACATCGCCAGCTTCTCACTTCGTCCTCCACCAACCCTCTTCCAAGTCCGAGTCTGGATACTCCAACGAGAAGTCATACATCATCTCGTCCCACTCCCTTTCAGCCTCCTTCACTGGATCATACGTCGATGAAGCCCAGCTCGTACCGACGCGGTTCGCTATTTGGTGGAGCGGGGTAGACCTTGAGCCTTCGTAGGTATCGCAAACAGTGATCTGCTCCTTCTTCGGGTTCGCATAGATCTCTACGGCTCCAACGCCCAAAGAGTACCAGTCTCCTCCATCGACCTTGGCGGCCTCGTAGCGGGCTTCGCGGTTGACGAAGAAGAGGGCCGGATAGCGCCGGCGTGTTCTGACGCGGAGCTTTTGCTTGACTTGGCTGATGAAAATAGTGTTGGGGTGAGGCTTGACACGAGCATACTTGTCTGGTCTGTATATGCGATCTTCTAGCGCGATGGCCCAAATTTGTGCGCGGATCTCGGCAGGTAGGCGGGGAAAAGCGTGGAAGAGCGACTTGTTGATGGATCTTCTAACCTTGGAGGAGCGTTTCCTTGGTACGGGCACGACTGTGAATCGCTCAAGGAAAGGATTATGGTCTTCATGCCTCGTTTCCTGACACCTTTTCTTAAGCCAGGCCGTGGCGTCCATCCCTGGAAGGTAGGCGCAAAAGACCATCGTCGAAAGGCCAGCTGAAGGCGCGTGTAAACCTTTGGGAGGGTCTGCTTAGAGAGCAGATATCGTCGCGCTTTTGAAGGGGCGACGGGGGAGATGAAGGGCCGCAAAGTTCGAGAGAGCGCAAAATTCTCCGTGTAGCGAAATCGCCCGTGACCAAAGGTAAAGGCAGGAGCGTTTGCTTGTGCACGTGACGCCAAGCACAGTGTCGTCATGACGTGATGAGGCACGGTTTCGCGACTTCCTCACACTCACCTCGCTACGCAGCTTCTCAGCTGTCATCCGGAGTAGCTGTCCATCAACTGTATCATGCCAATTCTTGAACACTGGCCATAACGCGCACGTCTTGTCGGGATAACGACCGGTCAGCCCGCGAGCTTGTAACCTCAACGATGGGTGTGAGAGTTCAATTAGATGCGGCCGGTACCGTGATCGTCGACGCGACACTGCTCTTCTGGACTGCCGAATGAGTCGGTGGCCTTTCCCATCAGGCATTTTTCTCTTACTCAAGTCGAAGCTGTGCTCTGATAATCAACCAAGCCCCAGACTGGTGTGCGGCTTACAGCTCTAGCTCGCGAGCGCTGGTACCCAGGTATCTATCATGTTTGCTGGATACTTACTGAAGGTGTTAGTGAGTCCTAAGATAGATGACTACAAGACCTACGAGTCTGATAGCTCTATTACTCTGCGAAGAGACGACGAGCAATGTCCTCTCAACAACCTCCGCTTTAGTGGCTCAATGATGGCATAACAGCTCCCTCGGCGGTCTTAGCTAGCCACTCTTCCATGGTGTCTGGTAATTTCGATCCAGAAGACAGCCACAAAAGACTACACAGGCGGACTTGGATACTGAGCCGCCGGGTTATCCGGCGAAGACCTACGACCCGTATTCGACGGCGCCTGGATCGTCGCCGCCAGCGCGAAGTACGGATTATCCGGCATAGACATACGCTTCGGCATGATACTCGCCAAACTCGGTAACGTAATCTGCACCCTCGTCTCCGGCTTCGGATTAAGCTGGATGAGCAAATCCGCCTCCTTGATATCCCTCAACACATCTTCAACATCACGCCCTTTCCTGACCCGCCTTAACAGCTCATAAGACTCGCTATCGGAGCTCGTCCGGATCAACTTGAATAGTTCGACATAGGCTTCGTTCTCGGCTTCCAAGGCATCGTATTTCCGTTTTAGTGCTTGGCCCTGGGTTTCAGATGACCGGGTAGCGTAGTGGCAGGATGTTGACCGTTTGACGCATTCGATACACACGGGTCTTTCGCCGTTGCATTTGATCTTCCTCGCGCGGCATTGATCGCAAGCGGAAGCGACGCGGTCCCGGGGTAACGGCGGGAGAGGTTCGTTGCGCGGGCGAACAGCGGACGGGAGGAGCGGTCTGAGTGGACGCATGGTTTTCGAAAGGGGGGGAAGGCAGGAAGAGGTCCGCGGAGAGAACCCTCAAAGACGAAGGCTGGGAATGATAAATGCGATCATGGTGGGTGGGCCCCAAAAACCCGGTCATCCATCTTTTAAGGTAATGATGGAATTTCTCGAATATCGATGCTGCGGAAAGACCAGGCCTGAATGGATCTCGATGGTAATTGGAACGCGGCAACTTAGCCCGCCAATCGGAAGCCGGAGATTCGATTGGGCATGTAGCCGAACTTCATCTTTTGCGCAGCAGCTTTTCTACGTGAAGGAATGCGAATCTGGCGACTGTCATTACGTGCCGTCATCTTGGTGTTCACACGGTTCGTTTAATCTTCGCTTTGGTACTATGGTTATTCGAAGATGCCCATTTGTCCGCCGCAAGCACTTCAGCACTGACAAAGCATCATCTCGTTCTCTGGAAAACCTACTCCCATCTGATTGGTGACAGTACAGAAACTCCATGGACATTTCTCATTCGTCAATACGACATGCTAGAAGAGATTCGATGGTGTACTGTAGTAGATGCAATGGTCGTTCCACATTCGTCTTACTAACGGTCCACCTGCAGCAGCGCAAGCAGGGCATTACTCCGGTTAGCCGCATCGAGGTTTCTGCGGCTGAATCTGCATGAGCAGCAAATATCTGTCTCCACAGCAATGGTCTTGGTATCCCGTATTCCCGCAGAGCTACGGCTGTAGTAAAAGCCTTGCGTTTATACATGCGGAAGTTCGATGGTGGGATGCCTGCCTGGGGTAATCCAGACGTCAATGCAGATACAGATGGGGTATGCCTTAGCGTATGCTAGTGTGTGTCGGACCTGTACACTCGTAGGTGAGGGCTGCATGCTACCGATGAGGAAATGGGTCGCACCGGAGTGTCGTCCGCAGCTCAATTGGTTGTTGTCAGCAAGCGTACGGCGGATGGAGCGTGCGACACATAGTGGCATCGTCCGGAGACAGAGGCACGCGCTCCAGATGAGGTTGGTAAGCTGGGAGTGCGCTTCATTGGCTGGGAACTCTTCCCGCAGACCCTGATCTACGAGTCCTGCCGTTGACTTGAACACCACCATTGTTGCTTTCGATGTCGTGATTTCCTTTTTTTCATGACATCTTTGACTGTTGAGTGCACAGCGTATAGGCTGACTGTGCCTTGTTGTTTCTATCGACGTTAACAACTCTAGCGAATCAAGAAGTCGGGATAGTTTCTTGTTCCATCGCATGCAACTTGTGGCTTGGATAATTTATGGAGCGAACGCTACGTTATTCGGCCCGCATATGCTCATCGGTCAAGAAGGCCGTTCCAGTCGAGTCTTTTCTCCATCATTTGGTAGAGAGATATTGCATCCAGATGAGTCAAGCAGATGCAGCATGAAACTCTGTCGGAGTATCCGCCGAGTTCACGGGATGCCAGCTCACCGTTTCGCATGTGCACTTACGTCATGAACGGCAGAATTGAATCTGATGTTTCTTTTCCTTCGTCGTCACGGTCGGTTACGCTACCGATAACCGAGATCTCCAGGGCTGAACGTGTTGGGGAACAACGTTGTTGATCTTAGGTTAGGATCGATGGCAGTCGGCTCCGTACCCGTCTTGCCAAGGGCCGCGGTACCCGTGGGTGTTGACGAGGTCTTGACTGAGCTTCTTGGAATGAGTCGACCGAGGTGTAGGAGTTGCGGATACGTTACATGGCTGTCTTCATATGCACATCATCGGTATTTGTCTGGTGATAGCGTTTATCGCCTTTACTGTGCCTTACGAGTGTAGTTTGGCCCTTCATCATATAGTATAACGTGTTACTACCAAGGTGTAATAATATCGGCGAAGGTTTCAACTCCGGCCGTTCGTTGAAAATGATTCCCAGTCAGGCCAACAACATCTATTGCAATACGTCAAAACTCAACTCTGTCTCCTCCTCCCACTGCCTCGCAAAATCCCTCAACACTTCAGTCCTCTTCCTCGCCATTTGCTTCCCCGTCTCCGTCTTCATCATGCCCTCCAACTTAAACAGCTTCTCCTCAAAATGCTCAATCGCCCTATCCATAGGCTGATCAGGCATCTTAGCCGCTCCATAGGAGAAACACCGCCCGATACCCACCGCACCGACAGCATCAAGACGATCTGCATCCTGTACGATTGCCAGTTCAGGATACGCTGCTAAGACACCCGCGGTAATTATAGGCTCGCGTATCTCGTGTGAATAGGATACATGATTAACGATATTGTCTACCACCACAGCCAGTTCGTAGTTTGAACCATGGTCCTCCAAGATATCCAAAATTTGCCTCTCGGCGTTTTGGCCTGGTCTGACGTATTTATGGTCGCCTACGTCGTGTAGAAGGGCGGCTAGGAAGAGGGCTGTGGTGTCGTAGCTGACGGAAGGGTCGCGAACGAGCTCGGCTTGAAGAATGCGGTTTGCGTTTGAGACGACGCGGAGAATGTGGTTGTAGTCGTGCGAGTTGTCATATTTTGACATGTAGTTGTGGACGAAGGCGTTGATGGAAGTGAAGAGGGGTTTGTACTCTTCGTGTATTGGGACTTGAGGCACTGGGATGGGGTTTGTGTGTTGAGGCGCCATGGTATGAGTTATGGGGTGGGTAGTAGGATCGATGTGGTTTAAGCACTGATATTGCTCTCTGATAGAAATCCTCTCCAGTGTTCGCACACGTAGATTAGGAAGTGACGAGCAAGTCAAAAAATTCGATCTGGACACGACGTAACGCAACAGGGCTCTGTGATGCTTGAAGAAACGACGTCTGTGTACTTCGAAAGGGCTGAGAGACGTGTAACGCGTTTTTCTGCCCACGCGGAGTCACATGATTGGCGACTTTCGTCCCTGAGACCAGCCGTCGCCCCTACCATGCCCTCTCAGACACTCTAAATGACATTAGTGAACATGACACTCCATATGAGATGCAACGATCTTTCTGAAACTGGCTTTGAACGAAAAGGAACAAATAGGAGTTCACTCATGTCTGCAGGTGGAGACGAACATCCGGGGTAGCTGAGCCGCAGCAGCCTCGGTACTTGGCCGGTCGGTAGCGCACGCGATAATGGAGCCATGATCTCACCCTCGCCCATCGCTCCTATCTACACACACGTGCACTCGGACACGACTACATCCACGTCGCGCAATCGCATCATCTCGGCGCGTCAGCTGGGGCGACTGCAGACATGTACAGGCAGGCGACGCAGAAAACGGGCGAGGTGCTGTCCATGCCGTCGCAGTGGCTGGGCATGTACTCCGACTTCATCACCAAGAACAGCAGCGCCGTCACCCAGATTGAATCCGCACTGCGGTCGCTGACATACATTATACCTGGTCAGTCAGCTCAGTGTCTGCATTTGCGCATTTTGCTAACTCTGTATAGGCCGCTTCCGGGAATCAGAAGTCGCATCCGAATCCAGTAGGTCGCGTCCGGCTATCGCGCATTCGTCCCGACTAACACCACCCAGTACACAGCGGCGTCCAAGTCCTCTCCCTATATCATGACTCTCTCCTCTCAAAAGCCATGGCACAGATGCCTGGAACGCGGCGGCAGCCCCTCACCCCGCATCATCGATACACCAAGTTCTGGACGCAGAACTCGCCCACATACAAGCGCATTGCGCTAGTGCTCCAGATGATCCAATACACAGAACTGCTATGGGAGATGGCAGCGAAGCGGAAGGGCGAGAAGGTGCGATGGCGCGTGGTCGTGTTGCTGGAGATTGTCAAGGCAGTATGTCGGTTGCTGCTGCTTCGATTGACCAACTCGAGACCACTCCTGTCGCCGCCACTCCCACAACGAGAGATTGACCCAAGCTCGCTGGAAGAGTCGTCGGCATCGGCCGATGGCATGGACACACCGCCAAGTGAGCGCTCAGTAGAGGCAGAGAACTGGGCAATGCCTAGGACCGGCCTCTCCATGCCCAGTCTACCGGATTCTTCGGATATCTCAAGCTACCTCCTCTCCAAGGTCCTCACCGCGGACGATATCAAGCCCCCGAAGGCGCTGCTCCACCGCGTCAGCGGAAAGGGCGAGCTGGCCGAAGCACTGTACATCCTCCGACCGGTTGTCTACGCCCTGGCTATGCAACATTTTAGTGGCGACAGGAAGAGCTGGAGGCCGTGGTTGATTGGTGTCAGCATGGAGTATGGTGCACGCCAACTGGCCAAGAAGGACTTCCAAGAGCGACTCGCTGGAGGCCTTCGCGGGCTGACCGGACTGGAGAAGGAAGAGCTGCGCAAGCGGGGCTGGTCCCTGGGATGGTGGGCTATGCGCGGCGCCTTCTACGAGAACATCACCAAGTAAGTCTTGTCACATTGACGTTCATTCAGCCATAACTAACATTGAACAGGGCCTGGATTCACAGTATCACCGGATCGCTGAAGGGCAAGCCTCTTCTCGACATGGTCGGCGGTGTCATCGAAGACTACGAGTTCCTTTGGGACCAGTACTACTTCCCCACCGCTACGCTATGATTGTTTCTTCGTCACGCACTCCTGGAATAATGCGATAATGTTTGACCTTCGCTTTTGCATGATCTGATCGCTGGACTGATCTTGGGTGGTTTCGCGTCTTCGCCTTCGGCTTTTTGTACATTATCCTTTCTTCAGATACCAGACATTTGCCATTGTTATAGTCCGTTGATTCTAATTGACGTATTTATCTACCGTGTTTAGTCGTGCTGAACTATCGCAATTCCCATGTCGCTCACTGACGCACTGCTGGAAGTACTAGCGCGCGAGCTCTGACCCACCCTCACCATGTCCAGTTCCGAAAGCTTCGATGGACACCGCAGAGCCGCATCAACAACAACCACCATCACCGCCCTCCCCCACAATCCCCACCCGTATCGCTGCCAACCTCCCAACATCATCCCCGGCGATACTGAGTCCACATCCCCAAGATGCCCGCCACCACAGCTGAGACGCTGTCACTCGTGACCCGCAACGTCTCCGTCGCGCCTCTCGTCCTCCTCTCCGCAGCCGACCACTAC